ACATTATATATATATATGCACGTACACTATAGGTAAGATCGGGTCGGGCCGAAAAATGTCAATCATTGCTTCGGGTCGGGCTTGTCTCTCGCTAACTTTTTTTTTTTTTTTTCGAGGCCGTGAATAGTTTTGGCCACGAGAGACCGTGGTTCGCAAAAAAGAGAAGCGGCGTCATCACAACACGTACTGTACTAAACTCTCGCAATGACAATTCAAAAAACTCCTTCATATCTTTGAGATCCAGCCGTCATTGTTCTTTTTCGTCTTGCTGCTTCTCTCTCTTCAAGTGCCACACTCGATTCTTAAGGACATACTGCTGCTGTGGTGAATGGCTCAATTTTCAACCCGTCAAAATGACGGACGGCCTTAAATTTTCCCGTCCACTCTTAAAAAATATCCGTCAATGATGGAAAATTGTCCGCTAATGTCACCTCTTCAGGAACAGAAATATAAAAGATGTAAATGTTTATCCAGTCTTGTTTAACGTAGATTTCTTTCCAAAAGAAAGGCTTTGTTATCAGAAATCACCCCTCCTCCTCCCGAGTCATCAAAAATAAAATATGAAATCTCGGGTTTGCTTCGGGCTCGGGCCTGCAAATCAAGTTAAGCGATCGGGCTCATGCACCCTTTGTGGCTTCCGTTCTCGCTGAAATTTCGAAATCTCAGAGATATGGGGAGGCCATGAGAATGCGAGGCGAGGGTATTACTGTTGTGGCGATGCCACTCGAGCTAGTCCGCTACTCTCGACTGTGCGTGCGTCAGCGCGAACATATACGCAAGCGCGTCTTTTGATTTCAACCAATAAGCTCCGACGCAACGACATCACACACCCGACGTCACACACGACAACAGCTAAGCTAAGCTCGCCGTGACGACACTCGAAGTCGGATGGATACGTTTTTCTGCCAATCTGTGTGTTTCCCTTTTTGTCCAAATATATTTTTACGACAACTGTCTTGTCCTCGGTGTCTTTTATTCGTTCCACTGGGTTTAGCAAATGTGTTGATCAAGAGACGAAAATCTCTCCTGTTACTAGTGTTGGTGTCTCAACATGGCTACGCTCGTGAAAGCAAAACAACGAACTCAAACGCGTCTTCGTTCAGTGTTGTCAAATAATATCCGGATTAATTTTAGGCAAATTTTCCTCAATTCTCCGGAGAGATTTTCATCAAAATGTGAAAATTCCGGAAATCCGGAGGACTTTCATCTCTGATTAATGACCGCATTTTGGCCAAATTAACTTTGGCCTGTGCCCCTTGGGACAACAATATGCCTGTCTACTCTCAAAATAGCAGTGGTTCTTCACCTGTATTCGATTGAACCCAGTTAATTCGCATTTTTTTGCGTCCCCCGGGGTTCGGTGAGATGGTCTCAGCGGTTCGACGGAGTTTCTGCCATGGAGGTTAAGACACACGCGACTCAACATGTGAATTCGTTATGACACGCCCGCTTGGCCATCATTGGCTGTAAAGATTATCACATGACATTGCTTGTCCAATCAGTGCTGTGGGAAATTTAGTTTGCTCACGCCCTACGTCCTTGGACAGCTTTTTTACAGGGAAAAGGGCATCTGACGAGCCACAAGATGAGCCCGCAACCTCGAAGAAAACAAAATCTGCTTTTAACAGACAATACAAAGAATCCTACCTAAGATATGGGTTTGTCGCAGCAGGTGACTCTCTGGCGCCAATCCGCTCTGCATTGTATGTGGCCAAAAGCTAGCGAATGAAGCCTTAAAAGTTGCTCCGGCACATAGAGACTAAGCACCCTGGATTAAAAGATAAACCTTTGGATTTTTTTTGAAAGACAAAGGAGCGAGCACAAAGGACAGAAACAATTACTGAGGGCCACCACATCAACAAATGGGAACGTACTGAAAGCATCGTACCTTGTGACGAACCACATTGCTAAAGACAAGAAACCTTTCACGATTGGAGAAGAGCTTATTTTGCCTGCGACCAAGGATATTTGCCGTGAAGTTTTGGGAGAGGCTGCTACTCAAAAGGTTGCACGGGTGCCTCTTTCTGCGACCACCATCACAAGACGCATCGATGATGTGTCGGCCGACATATCATCGATGTGGAGCAGTTGCTGGAGAGAATTAAAAAGTCACCATGGTACGCGATTCAGGTGGATGAGAGTACTGATATTGACAACAAGGCAACAGCGCTTACTTGTGTGCGATATATTTATTATCAGGAGGACGTGCATGAGGATATGTTATGTGCACTGTTGTTGCCAACAAACACAACGGCTGCAGAAATATTCAAGTCCCTGAATGATTATTTTTCCGGAAGACTGAGCTGGTCATTCTGTGTCGGTGTGTGCACAGACGGAGCTGCTGCTATGACAGGACGGCTGTCTGGTTTAACCACTCGTATTAAGGAGGTTGCACCTGAATGTGAACACACGCACTGTCATTCACCGAGAAATGCTGGCTAGTCGAAAAATATCAGCTGGGCTTCACAACGTATTGAATGACGTGAAAATTATTAACCTCATCAAAGCCCATGCGCTCAACTCCCGTCTGTTCGAGCAGCTTTGTGAGGAGATGGATGCTACGCACAAATGCCTTTTTTTGTACATAGAGGTAAGATGGCTATCCACGGGGAGATCATTGGCCAGAGTGTTTGAGTTACGAGAGTCGCTGCAGAGATTTCTCTCCGAGAAGAACTCGTCACTGGCAGCTCATTTCAGCGACAAGGACTGGGTCATCAAACTCGCTTACCTGTGCGACATATTTAACACTCTGCTCAATGAACTAAATTTGTCACTTCAAGGAACAATGACAACAGTGTTTAAGTTGGCAGATAAAATAGCTGCATTTAAAGCCAAATTGGAATTGTGGGAGCGGCGAGTGAATGGAGGGATATTTGACATGTTTCATACATTAGCAGGGATTCTGAAAGACACATCACCTGAACGCGCATTCTCTCAGCTGATTGGCAAACACCTGTCGACACTTTCACAAGAGTTTGAGCGCTACTTCCCAATCACGAAAGACCCACAGACTGCGAAGGAGTGGATTTGTGACCCGTTTGTGAATAAGCCGAGCGATTCGAGCATGTCTGTGCAACAGCAGGATCAGCTTGTAGAGATAGCAAATGACGGCGACCTCAAACGTACATTTGAGACAAACACTCTCCCAAGTTTTTGGATTAAAGTCATTCCGGAATATCCTGACATCGCTACGAGAGCGCTGAAAACCTTGCTTCAATTTCCAACGTCCTATCTGTGCGAAGCGGGCTTCTCTGCAATGACGGCAACCAAGACAAAGTTACGGAGCAGGCTGGACGTAAGGAACACGTTACGTGTCTCACTGTCTCCCATCACACCGAGATGGGACCATCTGGTCTCATGGAAACAAGCTCTGGCCTCCCTTGTCTCATCGAAACAAGCGCAGGCCTCCCACTAATTCGGCGGGTGAGTTATATTTTCCCTTTATTTGTTTTTAGCCACGTCGTGTTTTTTATTTGCTGTATTTTTCTGCCACACATTGCCGGTCCGTGAAAAAAAGACCCAACTCATACCGGTCCGTGGTGCAAAAAAGGTTGGGGACCCCTGGTCTAGAGGAGTCATGGACCACCCAAATGAAATCCTCATACCTACACACCTAAGTCCACAACGCCTGAACACAGGGATGGAATCCAGAGCGTCTTTCTCCACCTGAGCGTAGAATCTTTTGAGATGGGCCGGCAGGCACTGGCAGCTGTGTAAACCTGGCTCCACTGGAACACGAGTATATGGAATTTTGTGATCTGACAGGACCTGTGCAAACACCTCACGTACCTCTGCAACACAAGATCATAAATTAATCTCACTAGGCAGCATTGTTTAATAGACAAGCATCTATAGGGGCATCAAAGGGGCATTGAAAATATTCTGGCTGTGGTGACCCAGAGGTTACGCTATACAGCATTCAGGGGTTTTTTTTTGGAGATAGCCACCTAATTTTGGGTTGCCTTCGGTTCCAAAAACTCTGACATGATTTAAATGGTTATCTGAGCAAAACTGTATTTGCTGTGTGTCATGTTTGATTGCCATTGTATATCAACAGTGGGAGCTCTATAAAAAGTTGGAAGGTCGCTCCTAAAACCGCTGGTCATGATCCTGTTCTTGTATGTCTCTAGCAGGTGGCAGGGGAGGGCCTTCACTCCAGCATGCACACCTGCTGCTAATTTGGTGATCAGGTTAGCCATGTATTTAAGGACTTCCCAAGCGCCAAGTCTCTGTCAGATTATTGACCTTGTTGCTGCTCTCGCTCAAGTGTTGTTTTCTAGACTTCTTGATCTCATCATTGTCATTTTTGCTCTCGAGCCTCTCGCCTTGTAAAAATGTGTTAGTGTTTGATTTTACTCATGTTTTTGTTTTGTGAAATAGGACTCCAGTCATTTTGTTTATAATCTCGGATTTTCTATTTCCTAGCCTTTGCAAGCGCTTTTTGTTCATGTGTTGCCTTTCCTGGTTCTTTTTGACCAGCGATTTATGTTTGTACTTTATCGGTGCATTTTTGTTATTAAACAAATATTTTTAATACGGATTTTGTTTGTGTCTCCATTTGTGGAATCCAATTGCCATTCAGTTCGTTCCGAACTGTGTCACCATCAGTGAGCAGAAGGGCCACGAATGACGATTTTCTTGCTTACAATTACAATATGTGGCTTTTCCATCCATCCATCATCCAGTGTCTGAACTGCCTTATCCTCACGAGGGTTGCAGGTGGACTGAAGTCTATCCCAGCCGACTTCAGGTAATAGGCGGACTACACCCTGAACTGGTTGCCAGCCAATCGCAGGGCACACAGACAAAACCATTCGCACTCACAATCACACCTTCGGACAATTGACAGTGTTCAATTAACCTACAGTGCATGTTCTTGGAATGTATGAGAAACCGGAGGCTTTGGCCTTCCTGTGTGGAGTTTGCATGTTTTCACCATGTCTGTGGGTTTTCTCCGAGTACGCCGGTTGATTTGACATACAATTGCACAATCTTATGCACCACAGTTGCCAACAGGCAGCAGACAGAACAACATTGTGAGGAAGTGAATCATGCATTACAGATGTTGGGTGCACAATAAAATTTAAGAATCAATGAAAATGAATAATGAAATGGTTGAATCCAAATAACTAATACTACTGCTTTGGCATTACAGACATTGGGTGCACAATAAAATTTAAGAGTCAATGAAAATTAATGAAATGGTTGAATGTGAATAACTAATACTACTGCTTTGGCAAAGAATAAACTAACAAATGTGGAATTATGAATACCTCAATGCTTTAAACTACAGTGGCAAACCAGTTTGAATTCTGAGCCTCAGGAAAACAAAGGATAACGGACAGAGGATCACAGATTTTCCTTTAATTCAATGGCGAGGACGATCCCAAAAAAATTCATTGGGCTGCTTATGTCACCTGCAGCATGATTAACAAGGCAAGTTCAAATAAACAGAATCACCAATAAATGAAAGAAGAAGCAATGAACAGAAAGTCATTGTAATTAATTGACCAAACATACAGCTAAACGCGCGGCTGATGGGCAGCCATGACTTCTGAAGATGAAGCTATTTTGACAAGTTTTTCCCCTCGAAGTATCTCCAGTGCAACATGCAAGGAGAAATCTATTGTGCAGGGTATGTTGTCAAGTCAATCAGAGATGAAAGTGGACTTTTCTGAAAATTCCGGAAAAAATAAATATATATATATATATATAACTTGGCCGATCACGCATGAATTAGTTTACACAAAATGCTATTCAAATACTCGACATTCAATGATTAATCTTCCTTTTGTGTGCACACGTGTACCCTTTGTGGCTTCCGTTCGGGCCGAAATTTCGAAATCTCCG